GCCCATGTTCCAGGCCCCCAACCCCTGAGGAAGGCTGAGGGGGGGCAAGGGCAGAGCTGGGAGAGCGTGGGTCAAACAGCGTGGGAAGGGAAGCGGCAGGTGTTGGCAGAGCTGAGTCCTCACTAGCAGGGAGCCCTGGGTCACCGTTTCCAGGCTGGCAGGAACTTTGGGCTCCCCCACTTGCAGATGTGGAAGCGCCGAGGCTCTGAGAGTCACGAGCAGCACATCGGTGCCAGGCCCAGGTCTCCTGGTTGGCAGTCTCGTGGTTTTCTGGCCCTTGCCAGGCTGCCTGAATTGTGACAGCTTCTGAGCCGGTAATCAGAGCAGAGATCTGTGATGACATTCCCCCCTGCCTTTTGATTTTCCCCCAATTTAAAAAACATTATGAAATATTGCAGGCAAGTAAAAAAGGATAGGCAATTTAGTGAACTCCCTCATTCTTACCATTCAGCCTAAAAAATTAAAACGTCATAGATTCAGTCAAAGCACTCTCCCACCCCGATCCCCTTGTCACCTTCTCTTCCTTCTCTCCCGTGCCAGAGCTGACCACTTTCCCCAGCCTTCCCGTGCTCCTCTGCGTGCAGTGTGGGCGGCTCACTTTTTGAAGGGCCTCCTGACTCCTAGGATCCAGCGGTCTACACACAGGTGGACAGCTTGCAGCTGGCTCTGCCTTGTCCCTCATTCGTCCCTTGTCAGGACCCTGCGGCCCTGCCCTGGACCCTTGCCAATGGAACTGCTATTTGCTCCACTCTCTGGGCTGCGGCGGCAGGCACAGCCCGGCACAGAGGGCATTCATTGTATTGTCTGAGCGGCAGCTGGCATCGTAGGGGAACTGCCCAGTCGGGCCCAGAGGGCAGGCCCAGGACCGGCTAGGGGCATCTGGCCTGCCCTTTCAGCAAACGACTTAGTAAAATGGAGTCTGGCTAGGGGACTTCCCTGGCGGTCCAGTGGTTAAGACTCTGCACTTCCACTTCAGGGAGCACGGGTTGATCCCTGGTCAGGGAACTTAGACTCCCCATGCCTCGTGGTGTGGCCTAAAAAGGAAATTAATAAAATGGAGTCTGGCCAAGGGCAAGAGGAAGGCCACTTGGGTACTGGGTGGCCCTGGGGGTTTTAACCACTGGGCCTCCCCATCCCATAAAACCAATTCATGGAATTTGGGAAGAGCCCCACTGCCAAGAGCTCAGCCACAGGCCTTGCAACGTTACGGTGGTGGCCTCTGAAGGCTGGGAGAGCAGAAGCATCAGGGCGGGAGGAATGCTTCTCACAGCTGTGGCCCCCAGGGTGGGGAGTGGGGAGTTCCCGGAAAGCAGGCTGGGCTGCAGCAGTCCTCAAACTTTCTGGCTTTAGGACCCCTTTACACTCTTTAAAAAGTGGTGAGACCCGAAGGAAATTTTGTTTATGTGGGTTATATCTATCGATATGGACTGTATTAGAAATTAAAACTGAGAACAGTTTTAAGCATTTTAAAGTAATATTAAAAATAACATTGTGGGCTTCCCTGGTGGCGCAGTGGTTGAGAGTCCGCCTGCCGATGCAGGGGACACGGGTTCATGCCCCGGTCCGCGAAGATCCCACATGGCGCGGAGCGGCTGGGCCCGTGAGCCGTGGCCGCTGAGCCTGCGCGTCCGGAGCCTGTGCTCCGCAACGGGAGAGGCCACGACAGTGAGAGGCCCGTATACCGCAAATAATAATAATAACCTTGTGTTAACATAAGTAACATTTTTTTGTAAGAAGTATTCAGGTTTTCCAAAGCAAAAAAATGAGGGAGAAGAATGACATGGTTTTATATTTTTTGCAGATCTCGTTAATGTGTGGCTTAGTGAAAGGCAGCCAGATTCTCCTAGCTGCTTTTGCGTTCACATCCTCTTCATATCACAGGCCACGCGGCCTCCAGCAAACTCCACTTTACCGGGAGAGTGAAAAGGCCAACACTACTGTTATTATGCGAAGAGCCTGGCCTGGGGGACCTGCAGGGCTCTGGGGGGTCGGCAGGTGAGGAGAGGGGCGCTGCCTGAGCCGTCTCTCCCGGCAGGTGTGCTAGCGCTGTGGGTCCTGGTGACGCACGTGATGTACATGCAGGATTACTGGAGGACGTGGCTCAAGGGGCTGCGTGGCTTCTTCTTCGTGGGCGTCCTCTTCTCGGCCGTCTCTGTCGCCACTTTCTGCACCTTCCTTGTGCTGGCCGTCACCGGACACCAGAGTAAGGTGTCCCTCCACAAAGGGAGGGCGTGGGAGGGCCGGTGGGTGGAGCACTCCGGAGGCCCGGGATTCCTGTCCTGGGTTCAACACTTACGTCCAAGGGACTGGACAGACCACTTAACCTCCCTGTGCCCGAGTTTTCTCGTTGTAAAAGTGGGGAGAATGGACGCCCCCTATCCCCGCCCCTGGGTTGGAAGGGATCAATGAAACGCGTGGGAAGTGTGTGCTGCATTCAGCACCCAGGAGTGTGTGGTTAGCCGCCCTTTTTAGCCTCCAGCGGAGGGTATGGGAGCGCCCCCTGGTGGCTGCAGTCTGCAAGTAGCCAGAGGCTCTTCCTGCCCGCTCTGATGCTGAAGCACATTGGAAGGCAGTGGCCTAGGGTCAGTGTCACAGAAGCAGAGCGGATGATACAGCCCTGTGATTAGCCAACCCTCATCCCCACTGCTCCCTGCCTGCAAACTCTGAATGCTCTGAAACCTCTATCACACCTGATCTCTCCACTGGCTCAGTTCAGCCTCTGTTGGAGGTTGTGGGGAAGGATGGCCCGGGGCTTGTGGCATGGTGGCTAGGGTCAAGGGCAAGGTCCTCTCAAGTCACGGTTGGGTTCCTCTCCCCTGCAGGCCTCACAGACCCCAACAGCTACTACCTCTCCTGCGTGTGGAGCTTCATCTCCTTCAAGTGGGCCTTCCTGCTCAGCCTCTATGCCCACCGCTACCGGGCTGACTTTGCCGACATCAGCATCCTCAGCGATTTCTGACCTGAGCGATGAGGTCTCCGCACCCTGGTGGTCCTCAGGACCTGGACTCAGCCTCTGAGACATAAGGCGGGCCTGTACACCCCCTGGGAACCCCAGAACCGGGGCAGAAAGTATACAGCAGGAGGACGGTGGTCTCCCTGGGAGCTGTCCTGTCCCCTTGGGGGGAACCCTGGGTGCCGTGGAAAGGGGTCCTGCCATGTTGCTCATCAGCGTGACTGGAGGGCAGCTTTAGACCTTTTCAAGTGCATCTATTTTCTTAGCACTCAGTGGGCAATCTTTCTAAGTAGGGCCAGGGCAACAGGCAAGGGGTAGGGCAGTGGGGCCTTGACCTGTGCCTGGGGGCAGGGCTCCCTGCTGCCCTAGACACTCTCCCTCAGGTGAGACGGGACCCTGGGGAGGTGAGGTCAGGTAAGGGATCTCTAGTAGAGACTTCTCAGCCCCTTACCCCAGCACCCGCATCTTGTTGTCCCCCAAGAGTCAGGTAGCTGAACTCATTGGTCCCAGGGATGGTAACACTTGCTTCTCTTTTCCCAAGGCCTGGGGACCCGAGGGGAGTTCAGTGTCCCTCTCTCCACCCACCCTGTTCCTCGCAGAGGTGGTTCCCATGAGTATGCTAGAGCCGTCCTCCCCTTCCCCACACACCCCAGAGCAGGACGCCCCAAATGAGGCCAGACTAAGGGTCTTGGGGAAGATGCTTCTGCCCCCCGAAGGGCTTTGGGGAAGGGGGCAGCACGGGGTGGGCTAGAAGGAACCCTCAAACCTGTGCCAGGCACCTCCAGCCCAGCATTTCCATTTGGCCTTCTCATGCCTGCCCCTCATGGCACCCAGATTGCCCCTGGCCCCGAGATGCCTCCCCCACTCCTGCCCCTGCCCTTCACCCAGAGCTTTTCTCTTTTAAAATCTCCCTTCTGAAGGACAAAATCTGCTTTACTGCCTATACACTGGCCCAAGGGCTCACCTAACTCGGAAGGGAAGGGCTCCATCCATCTTTTTGTCTTAGGTTGTCATTTTGCACGGTCTACCCCTTTCCCACCTGATGTGTCCTGCCCCTCAGCTCTTTGCCTTATCTGTGTCACTGTCACTTTAGCAGAAATACAGCAGCCATTTGTATCAGCTAGCCTCTGGTGCTTTCTTATGGGGTGGACTGTGGGAGCGGTGGGTGGGAATGGGGGTCTCCAGTCATCTCATCAAGCCATTTCCTTAGCTCAGAGGGGACCCTCTCCCTCTGGTCCCACTTGGCATGGGGGAACCCACAGTTCAGCTCTCTTCCTCCAGCCCCCTCAGCAAACCCCCCAGCCAGGGCGAGGATGCCCCGGGGCACAGTCTCAGCAACGTCTGTGGGATTGAGTGCCTATCGCCCCAAGAGGCCAGGACAGATGGGAAGGGGATGAACATGCTTCCCCTCGTATTCTCCAGGCTGTGAGGGCTTGGGCCCAGGTCGGAGATGATGAGGCCGCTCCTTCTGCTGGCTGAAGAAGCCTGGCCGCCTCGGAACCATAAAGACAGGCGCCACTGGATGAGCTCGCCCAGGCCTGCTGTCTCGCCCGTTCTTCCCTTCTAGGCTCAGCAGATGCTGAAGAAGTCATGGTACATTAGAGCAGGAAGGAACCGAACAGTGTCTATTTCGGGAACCTTTAACTGATAAACAGAGGCCCCAGGAGGTGACGTGACTTACCTGAGCTCCCAGCTGGGACTTGAACCCAGGTAGGTCTGATTCAGGACTCTTTAGGGGAGCCTTAGCGAGCCGGGTCTGCAGGCATCCATGTTCCCCACGCCCTTACGGGCCCTCTGTCTACGGACTCAGCCCAGAGCTGCCGCCTCTTCACTACCCAGAGGTGGGGCAGGCGGGGGCAGCCAGGGTGTGTTCAGAATGGATTCTTCCCGCAAGGCAGCGGCCACAGAAGGCCAAGGAGCTGGAGGGGGGCTGCCCCACGGCCCAACCTGTCCCTTCTCTTCCACAGTGAATCAGGCACAGGCTGTGCTGTGTAGCTGTAGGCCCGCTGCCCACCCCTCAACCCCCGGAGGCCCTTTCACATGAACCTTTAAAGCAAATAAAACATTTATTGTTCAGATTTTTTTTCCATTTTTTTTTTCTTTTTTACAAAAACATGCATACATACACAGGGCATGGTGGTCCTCGGGAAGACACACTCATGTGCACACACATACAAACCCTCCTCTTACTGTCTCTCTCTCACACACACACACACGCACACGCACATACACACACACACACACACACACACACACACACAAATACTTTCCTTCTTGGCCCCAGGCCTGGACCCCAGAAGCCTCGAAGTCTTTGCCAGGGCAGCCTCCCCTCCCCCATGTCTTCCATTCACTCTCCCACCCCCTTTCCCGTCAGCCAAGCTAGTCCTACGTAGGGCAGGAGTCAGCTGGGGTGGGGGAGACCCCAGAAAGAGAAGGCTCACGGAGGGGGGTGGTGACTACTGAGGGGTCCCTGGGGGTCATGCTGTGCTTCTGAGGGGAGATGAAGGGTTTGGCACCATTGGATCAGGAAGCAAAGAACTCCAGGAGCACCTGTCTGCTGCACCAGAGCCCTGAGATGGCTGACGCAGGTGGCCTCTGGCAGGGGCAGGGACCAGATGGGAGGCCTGCCGATGACTGCTCTCAGAGGGAGGTCTGTCTCACTGCCCAGTGGTGGGGAGGAAGCTTCCAGAGTCATCTGAGGAAGCAGGAGAGGAGGGACTCCCCCTGCACGCAGGGACATGGGACCCCTTTGCCCCTGCTACCCATCCTCCCTCCCCCAGAGCCTAGGAAGGGCCACTCTGGCGGAGGCCGAGTTCACATTTCTGTGTGGAGCCTGGGGCTGTGTGCAAAGTCGGGGGTCTACAGAACCAGGAATAGTGGTTGTGAGCGGGCCCGGCTGTGCCAGTCCTCCTCTGTGCAGGCCTGAGGATCGGGGGCCCAGCTAGGGGCCCAGACCCCAGAGGGGTAGACTGTGCTTCGGGGAGAGCCCTACTGGGGCCCGGCTGGCTACGCAGCCGGCCTCCTGTCAGGGTCTTCTTTGGTCCCTATGCTAGACCCAGGGGCCTTCCCAGGCTCCTTGGGGTGACTGTCAAGAGGCTGTTCTCTGGCCCCGACTACCTGCCCGAAGGATCTCTGAAGACCCCGGGAACGGGTACTGTTGCCAGAGGTTGGAAGAGAACCAGGTCCGAAGGGCAGGGCGGGGCAGGGCGCGGCAGGGGGCAGATCCGTCCTGTAGCCTAAAGATTCATGGGTTCTTCCTCCTCCACCAGCTGCTCTGAGGTCCTGGGGGAGGGAAAGCGGGGGGTGCTGCTGAAGAGCCAGGGGAAAGGCCTGAGCCCAGCTTCCCAGGAAGCCCGAGAAGGCCGTGGTGGCTGGGCTGGAGCCTGGGCTCTGCAGGTTGGGAGGGTCCAAGGGGCTGGAGGGGCTGTGAGCCAGGGGTCTGGCATTACCGCTCTTCAGTCAGGATGCCCACGGAGAGGGATGCCAGTGCAGTTACTGCCTCCACTTCTGCATCGGCCCCTGGCACCCTGGGCACCCAGGAGTCTGGACAGGAGGCCAGGCGCTGCATGCAGCCCCAGTATTCACCTGGGTAAGAAGCCGAGTCAGAAAGGGCTGGGGGCACAAGGCCCTCCACCTGCCCACCACGCATCCTAGACTGGTCCTGAGGCTGCACATCTCAGGCCCAGGAGTAGCGGACGCGTCCTCGGTGTGGGGTCAGCTCTCACCTGCCTCCACCCTCAGTGCAACACCCTCCCTGACTCGGCCCCCGAAGCCCTGACAGGGTGAGCAGTGCAGATTCAGCGTGGCAGTGAGGGGCCCTCGCAGAGGTCCAAGCCAGTCCCACACGCCTCTGGCTGAAAGGCCACCGCTAACCCATTCTCATGGGTGTGGGGTTCCTAAGTGCCCCATTAGGGCCTCCCTTCCCCTAGATGGGGTCTGTGTCATGGTGACCTCACGGAGCCCTGAGCCCCGGCCTGCTGGAGCCCAGGGTCCCCCTCACATGTAGCCCCTGGCAACGCTCAGCGCAGCACAGGCACGGGAGGCCAGAGGACACAGTGCCAGGAGAGGTGACCAACACCGCGGCCACTCTGTCTGGCTGTTGGCAAGCCACTTACCACCCTGGACTCCCACTGCCCCATCTAGACCATGGGCACGACCGTCCTGCCTGCTGTGGCGAGAAATAATGTCCACGGAACACGCCCGGCCCGGAGCCTGGCCCAGTGGGAGGGCTCCACACCGAGTACCTGCAGCAGCTGCACTGTCATGTACAACAGCCCTACTGAGCCCGGACGTGGGAAATCTATTTTGTTCATTTTTGTATCCCTGGCATAGATCACAGGTCTTTACATAAAGGGCTCCACAGATGCTGAGCTGAAACTGAAAATTTAAAGTGCTTTCCAAATGTGGGGTTAATCTAAGACTCAGCCCCGAAAACACCCAGAGCTCCGAAGACCCTGCGGCCAGGTTTGAGGGTTAGGGTGGGAACCAGCACTTCCACGAACAAGGCCCGAGTGTTGCTGTGGGCAGGGCCCTGGCCTAGGGCAGCAGCTGGGGATGGGAGGCCAGTCCTGCCTGGTCCCCACTGGGTCCATCTGGAGGGCTCCGAGGGTATCCACTCATGGTGGGGGGGGGGCTGCTTCCCATTATCGTGGGGTACTTTATAGGAAGCCTACTCCAGAGCAGCAGCACCCCTGGCGGGGCTGGTGCTGGAAGACCTGGGGCCCTGGTCACTGGGGGCAGCAGAGCCCCAGGTTTCTCCCGAGTCTGGGGTCAGCGGTGTCCTCTGTCCATACTCACTGTGCACCCGGATCACAGCTTCCAGAGAGCGGATGGCATTGAGGTTGGGTTTCTGTTTCCAGCCTTCTTCTGAGAGGGGATCCACCTACAGAAGCAAAGAGTACATCAGTCACCCACCTCTCAGGGACCCCCAGGCCCAGCTCTCTCCCACCCCCGGGCCCCCGCTTTCCAAGCGCAAATAGGCACGTGCTCCCGGCTCTACCTAGGGCAGGGGACGCTGGCCCTACGCCTGACCTGGGGAAGAGGCATCCACGCCGCTCCCCTCATCCCAGGCCTGGCCACCCCCACCCCGCCCATCTGCATGCCCTCAGGGAGGCGCCCTGTCTACCTGCTCCCTGGGGCACTCCTGGGAGAGCCGGACGCCCTGCCCCACCGACGCACGGATCAGGGGCAGGCTCCTCACCTTGTTGCCTAGAAGAGCAGCCACACAGGCCTCAGAGGCGTCACAGATGGCTGTGAGATCGTGGCCACCCTCCAAGGCCAGCACCACCGCGCCTCCCGCCAGGCTCATCAGCTGCTGCGTCATGTACCCAAAACCTAGACGGTTGCGCGAGGAGGGTTGGGGGGCAGCGGTGGAGGAGAGGGGGGCCCTCTCTACCTCTGGTAACTCCCTGCTTGACTCCTCCCTTAGAAAGAGTGACTCATGCAGAAATCTCTACCTTCCCAAGTGCTTTCACATGGAATCCCCTGTAAATCCTATTAGTATGCCTCACTGAAGGCTCAGAGAGGTTAAGGGCAGCTAGTAAGTGGCAGGGCTAGGACCGGAACCCAGGGCATGGACCCCAGCCCATGTCTTTTTCGCTAAGACACACCATATTCCTCTCTGTCCTCCAGGCCCCATGGCCCAGGGGGCTGAGTGGGCTCCCTCTGTTCTGAGAACACTGCTCCTCCCCACTGCCCCCAGGAGAAGCTGCCAGCCCAGCCTGGGAAGGACACAGCTGGGGTGGGAGGAGTCCTGTCACTGAGCTTCCAGGTCTACGGGACTTAAGCCCCCTGGGTGTGACTTAGGTCTCCCACAGGGAACTGACCTGGTCTGTGCTGGGGCCCTGGGCCAGCCACTGCCACCTCCCCCTAGCCTTGGGCTGTGCCGCCCCTCCCGGCCTAGCCTTCACTCCCTACACCTGCCCCCTGGGTTGGGCCCTCCTTACATTTGGCGGAAACATGGTAGCCGCCCAGTGGGGGTGGGTGACCCTCGGCAGCATCAAACCCAGCTGACACCAGGACCAGGTCCGGAGAGAACTCCCGGGCGATGGGCATCACGACTATCCTGTGTGGGCAGAAGGGGGGCTCACCACGCTGTGCAGGGCTGCCAGGGGCAGAGGCCAATGGCCCCGCCAGCCCTCTCCCACCAACTCTACTGGGGGCACCCTGCTCTCAGGACTCCTAGACACCCACTCTCCCAGCAGGATGAGCAGATGCCTCTGACTTCCTTGACCTTGGCTGGCCACCCATGTCCCTGGTACAGCCTAAGGACTCAGCCACCCAGGGCGCTTCACTGGCGAGAGGCAGGAAGGCACCGGAGGGAATGAAACAGGAGTGGGCGTGTGGGTGTGTCTGTGTGTGTTTCGGGGGGTGCGGTGGGCAGGGCCTCGGGAAGGGGCGGGTCACTAAGCCTCAGGGAAACACTGGAAACACTCAGCACTTAGCTGCCACCCACTTAGGACTGAGTTGGCCACACCTCACCACTCGTCACCTGAGAGCTGACCAGGGCGACGGACTCCCTCTGAGGTCCTGGGCCACCAGATCCATTCTCGTCCTCTGCCCCCGCTGGCCCCTCACAGCTACCTCCCTCCAACCCTCACCCAACTCGGGGGTCTATTTTGGTGTCCTTCAAAATAGGGCTCTGGGCACACAGATGCCAGGAACCCCAGCCCAGGGCTCCCACAGAATTAGCTCTCATCGAGAACACTCTAGAAAAGTATATGGAGACCTACTTCCAGGGTTCTCTTTCTCCAAATGGAGTATAGGAACCCTCAGAGTGAAAGATATAAGGGACCCTGAGCAAAGTCCCTCTTCTAGAATGGCCTTTCTTAAGCAACTCCCCCAATACGGACATCACCTGCTTGCTCTCCCTCTTTCTCCACAATTTAAGTTTCTCAGTGCCTGTGCAGAGCTGCTCACTCCACCCTGCCCATCTCCCCGCACTCAGGTCAACACTGGCTCTTGGTAACGTGTGACATTATAAACTTTATAATATAAAGCACCCTTTGACCTTTCATTCCGTGTTTCCTGTCTTCCCACAGGGACTGGAGGCCCCTAGAGGCCAGTGTAACAGTGCCTTTCCCTTTGCTTGTCTCAGTCCATAGGCCCACTCCGGGGCTGGCTTATAATGTCTAGCAACTGGATGAGGACAGGCTGACCAGCCACCTGATCGCCTCCAACCTGGTGCTGTTGGAAAAGGGGACGAGAGGGTGGCCTTGCTGGGTCCCCAGAGCACTTACCTGAAGGCGGCCAGGTACTCAGGATCCCCCACTGGGGGGTCCAGACCTCCAGCCCAGGCCACATTGACATTGAAGCCCTCACCGCTGCCAGCTCCCACCTGGAAAACAGGAGGCAAGAGAGACGTGAGGAGAGCAGAGTCCCAAGAGAGCGATCCCAGGATGTCAGAGCTGCAAGACCAGCTCATCCAGCCTCTTCACTTCCAGATGGAGAAACTGAGGCTCAGAGCGGCTAAACAGTCTGCCCAGATCACACAGCTAGCTGTGACAGGGGCCGAGTAAGGGCCACAAGGGAGAGTCAGTGGGGCTGGAAGGTGTGGTTACCTCATCCACAGCCCCACTGCCTGGGAAGAAGTTGCCATCGTCGTGGCGATGAAGGGAGATGTAGAGCACGCTGGGGTCCTGATAGAAGGTCTGCTGTGTGCCGTTGCCATGGTGAACGTCCTGTGCAGGGAGATGGGCAGTGGATTAGGGCAGGTCTGAAAGCAGACACATGGAGACTGGGGCAGGTTGGAAAGGTTTCAAGGTCGGTGACCATTCTGAGGGTCAGGAGTCTAGACTGGGGGTGAGAACATGGGGGCTCCTACAGCGAAACTGTTGCGTGACCCACGGGCACTCTCTGAGCCTCAGTCTCCCCCTGTATGTATAGATGTGTACATAGCACGCTAGGTGGGGGCAGCAATAACACGAAACCCTGAAGGGGAGGAAAGAGTGCGTGCCAGGGGAGGATCAGTGCCAGGAGAGGGAAGAGTCCAGGGTCACACATGTCAGGAACTCTCGCTACTGTGTCTTGCCCAAGGTCATGGAGTGATGCAAGTGATGGAAACCATACTCCGCTGCAGAGGGGCCGGACCATGAGGCCCAGCGCCACCCCTCCAGGGAGAGCCATGGTAACTCACAGGACCATGCGTGGGCGCAAGTGTGGAAAGTTCCTCCACTCTCCTCCATTCTGTGTAGGAATGTCCCACAAGCAGATGTCAATGCAAAGCAGAGCACGAGGCCGTGCTCCAGAGCTAACAGGCCTCGGTTCAAATCACAGTCTCAGGACTGACGAGGTGTAGAGCTGTGTGCAAGTTACCTAACCTCTCTGTGCTCACTTTCCTCATCTGTAAACCAGGTCAGAGTCAGGGTTAAATATATGAGGCATGAAACCATCAGTGTCTGGATGCGATTAGTGGTATGTTGATGTTATGTGTTATTACTGGTACTGTCACTACCTGCAGGAGAAAGGCAGAAATGATCAGATCTGCAGAAAGAAGCCAACAGAGGCCAGAAGACGGCATTCCAATGGCCCCTCCCCTGTGGGAGCTGAGGCCTTTCCATATACCATCTCCTCTGGGCCTCCCAACAGCCCCGTGATGGGGGCATTATCCTCACCACATTTCCCCCGTTTTACACAGTGGGGGAACCGAGGCTTGGGGAGGCTAATGCGGAACTAGGCAGGACGTTAAGCCGTGTCTCCTAACGCCAGGCTCAGGGCTCTTTCCACAGGCCTCTCGGACCTGACGGGGCCAGGACCCGGGACCCACCCAGTCCACGATGAGGATCTTGCTGGCCTTGCCCTGTTGTTGCAGCTGCCGGCAGGCGATGGCCACTGAGTTGAAGAAGCAGAAGCCCCTGGAAGGAAAAGAGAGGTCGTGCCAGCCCATTCCCTCCCCGTGCCTCACCCCCTCCACCTGCCTCTGGCCCGGCCCAGCCCCAGAAAGCTCAGAGGAAGGAGGGGAAACATCCCAACAGGAGGGCCTTGAGGGCCTGCCCCCTACCTCAGCCCACCCAGGCCTCCCCCAGGCCTTACATGGCTGTGGAATGGTCTGCATGGTGTCCTGGGGGCCGAACCACAGCAAAACCGTTCTGGAAACAGAAAGAATGCTCGTCAACCAAAGAGTCAGACCTCTGACCCACGCCTCCATGAACCTGCCCCCGCCCACCCCATCCCCAGGCTCCTCCCCCGAGAAGGGACCACAGGGCAACAGCTGCCAGTGTGACTGACCATGACCAGGCTGGGTATCAAGGGCCCTGTGCTGACCCCCAGGCCGTGAACACAGAACCTCCCACGCCGGTGACTCCTGGCTGTTACCACTTTGGAATCACAACAGCTGTTATTTGTTGGGCAAAATCTATGTGCCTGGCACTGTGCTAAGCACTGGGTAAATGCTGGATTTCATCCTCACAGCTCTCTGAGGTAAACGTTATCTAATCTTCATAAGATAAACACTGTTATTATATCTGGTTTACAGACAGCAGAAACCTGGAGCTTCCACGGGTTTAACAACATGTGCAAAGTTGCCTGGTTGCAGATGGTGGAGCCAGGACTTGGGCTGTGAGCTCCTAAACAGCAGGCTGGTGGGGGGGGGGGGGGCTCGGCACAAGCCCCCGTAAGGTACCCAGCCCGGAGCAAATGAGCAGATGAGCAGATGAGCGCCAACCCGGTCTGTAAAACCTCAGCATCACCAACAGGCGCTCCGCCAATGCACGGGGCTCCCGAGAGGCCCTGCAACTTGCCCACGGTCCACAGCGGGTCTGTGTTAACCGATCCTGGATGATCGTGACCCTGTCTCTCTTAGAGACCACAGGCCCAGGGGCACAGTGGCTTGCTTCCCCACCAGGTAACAGGAGCCTAGGGTTCAGATCTCATCTTGCTCCCCAGAGCTCTCAATTTCCCTTTCGAAACCCTGTGGTGATATCCAAGAGGAACGTGATGCTGGGTGTCGGGTCTGGCCTTCCCCGCTACCCCATCCTCTGCCTCCTTCCTCCGTGGCTTGCCCACCTTCCACTCGAACCTCCTACCTTTAGCTCTCGGGAAGCCACTTTGAAGGCGAGGTCAGTGACGCTGCCGGCAGCCCAGCGGGCCGCGTTGGAGGAGTGCAGCTCGTTCCAGATGGTGTCGGTATCCACCTGCGGGGGCCAGAGTCAGGGCCCGCATCATCCCAGGCCTCCCACGGCAGCCAGGGCCCGGGGGGCGGTGCCCACCCCACGGCCAGGACCCCAGGGGCAGGGAGCTGGGCAGACGGCGCTGCCGCCCCACTGCCCCGCCGCCCAGAAAAGCAAGGCCTCCCGTGTCCCCCAGTCCCGGCACGACTTCTCCTTCCCAGCTTCAGTCCATATCACCAGCCCGCAACTGGCCAGCACTCTGCCGGCAGCATCGCGCCTGCCCCCCGGTCAGAGGAGGGGGCATGGCGTTACCTGGGCGGGACTTGGGGTTTGGGCCTGGAGGGGGTTTTAAGCCCCAGCTGACTCTGCTCAGGCCCTCGGGACCGTCGGAGCTCGAGGGGCCGTCTGCACCACTGTCTTCCACTCGGGGCCCCTAGCCCAGGCTGGGAGGCCCCCCAAACCCAGTCCCTGGGCCTCAAGGCTAGGGAGGGGCCGGGGGGCGTGATGGGGAGATGGGAAGGGCGAGGCGGACCGAGAGAGGCGAGGAAGGCAGAGAGAGTCGCAAGAGGCTGGAGAAAGAGAGAGAGACAGAGACAGAGAGGGAGCGGAGGGAGGAGAAAACAGAAGCAACAACAGTTGGAAAAATCAGAAAGTGGCAAGAAATGGGAAGTTGTGAACAGGGCGCTGACCGGCTCCCACGCAGCCCCCCAGCGACAGCTCCCATTTCCCTCCAGGACCGGGCCTCCGTCCCCTGCCTCCACACGCCCGGTTTGGTTTGCGCAGGGACCCTTTGAGGGGAGGAGAGCACTGCCAGCAGGCAGAAGTCCCCCGGCGGGGTGAGAGGGAGCCCGGAAAGCTAGGGCGTGGGAGGGACAGGCCTGGGTCGCCAAGGACACCAGAGGCATCCCTGCAGCCCCAGGCCGGGCAGCCCACTCCAGGGATGCAAAGCAGCCTGGAGGCCAGCGTGCTCACGATGGGAGACGAGCCCCAGCCCCGGGCCCGGCCCTGCTCTTCGGGCCTCCTCAACATCCACCAAATGCCTTGCAAGTGTGAGGGATGGGACTCCACACTCAGGAAGACATGCCCGCCACAGGGAGCTTCCAGCCGGCACAGGGGCACTATGGGAGAGCCCCTGGCCCACGGGCCCAGCACAACCACAAGAACAAGCAGGCAGGGGCTGGGCCTGGGAGAACGGAAGGGAGGAGGTCTGAGAGCCCGTGGCCACGCGCGCTCGAGACCTCGGCACACTTACCCCAACGCCACCGCAGGGCAGCATCACGAACATCCGCTGTGCCAGGAGCCCTGTGGGGAGAGGTCCAGGTGTGTGAGCCGCATCTGCTCTGCCTCCGGCCGGGAGCAGGGAAGCTCTGAGAAGAGGGCCAGGCGGGGTGGGCAGGGAGGGGTGGAGGTGGGCAGCAGAGGGACTAAAGCACAGGGGATGCTCAGGCTGGGTGAGCCAGGGGGGGTCTGGGGGCCCCAGGCGCCATCGGTCCCCTACCTGCCAGCTTCCCATTGTCCAGTTTGAGGCGGCTGAGCGGGTTGGTGCCGTAGAGGAGCACGTGCCGCTCCGAGTGCACTGACTGCAGCTCCTCCAGGGAGGCCTTCCGGCCCCGTAGAGACTGAGGAAGGACCCATAGAGCTCCTGAGCCCCTGCTCGGCCCCTTCCCTGCCACTTCCCTGCCACAGGCTCCAGGGCCTCCCAGCCCCTTCCCTTCTGTGACCCTCAGCTCCTCCGATCCCACAGCCCCCACGCTGCCCCCTTACCTCACACTGGCTCCGGAGCCCCCGCTCCAGCAGCCGGGACCAGATGCTCTGGATGCGGCCCGCGTGCTCCGGGTGCCGGCTGTTGTCTCCGCAGGAGCACTGGTGCTTCAGCATTACTGAGTCATAGACCAGCCCTGCGGGGAGCAGGGGTCAGGGCCAGGGCCCCGGGGAGTCCCCACCCCCAGCCCCACCATGGAGCCAGGCCGGGCACGCCCTCCACACCCCCGCACAGCCCCACATGCCCCATCCTGCCCCTCGGAGCCCGTACGCACACCCCCAGCTGCTTACCCAGGCAGCCTTGGGCACCTCACCCACACATCACACAGCCCCGGCCAGCACAACCGCCACCCGCCACCCGCTGCCTTCCCGACTCACTGACCCCCCACGTGGCCCAGGGACAATGACCATGACCTCAAGAGCTCAGAGCCTAACACAGGGAGGCCTGATGCCAGGGGCTCGCACTGCATGTCAGGACCCAAATAGGCACCCCCGAGCTGGGAGCTGGGAGTCCACAGTGGGCCACGTGACAGGACAGATGCAGTTTTGGGGAAGTGACTGTTTCAGCCTGACCAGCAGGACGCCCAGAGGAGGGCCCTGCACGCTGCCAGTGGGAGGGTCACTTTCAGAACATCTCAGGACATTAGGCTCTTCAGAACGCTCACAGCATTTGACCCGGGGATGCCACTCCTTGACAGTGACCCTCGGGAAACAATCCCAGGGATAAGGGGAGATTTATAGAAATTTACAAGGAAATTCAAACGAGCAAAAGTGAGTAACCACCTAACTGCTCAACCCATAGGAAATCTTTAAACAAAAATACTGTGATGACATACTACAAGATCTCATTTTTAAAGTTTAATTATATCACAAGGTGTTCATGATGTGCAGAGTGAAGGAAGCAGGATACAAAACGTAGCCACAAAATGTACCGTATGTGAGATTTATAGATGCGGCTAAAACAAAGACTGGCTTGAAATACGGCAGCATTTACAAGGGGTTGCCTCTGGGTGGCGGGATACCAGCTGGTGATTTTTGTTCCATTCTTAGGCTTTTCTGTATTCTTCAAAATTTCTAAAATGCTCGAGTTATTTTCACAAGCAGAGCAACAATAATAAATATCGTTTTTGAAGGCCCGGACTAGTCGTCAGGAGACCTGAATTCTTAGCTTGGCCTGACTGCCAGCTTGCTGTCCCCTTCGATTTCCTGAGCCTGGGTCTCCTCAGTTGTAAAATGAGAACCACCAGTTGCTCCACGGGACGCTGGGGGGATCTCATAAGACTAAGAAAGTGTTCTGTGGCCTCGAGAAATGTCCTGAGTGAACCATGACACAGACATGGTCCTCTGCCCCGAGGCTCCGTGTGCACCCAGCCACTTCCTCCTGCCCTCCAATCCGGGCCTTACCTGTGGTGAAGGGCAGGGTCCGGGCAGGGGTCTCTGAGCTGGGCAGGACACGGGCCTGGCTGGTGGGCTCTGGGGTTGGCAGGGAGGCAGGCGCGGCTGGGGAAGACTGAGCCCTGGACAGAGGCCGGTGACCACCCTGGGCCAGGGGAGGCAGCACGGAGTCCCCAGTGGCTCCCCGGGGGAGCCGCCCAGCCAGTCGCTGCTGCTCCCAGAGGTACACCTGAGGGACACAGGGGTCTCAGTCTCCAGGTTCTCAGTACCCTGCTCCATCCACCTCTGCCCACAGCCTTGGAAACCTCCAGGCAGGCCCCTTTTCTGCAGAAGCCTCTGGCCCTGCCTCCCAGCTGGGCTCTGGCCTTTGAGTCACTGAGCTCCCTGCCCCCACCAACCCCCCGAAAGGTCTGCACCCCAGACTGACCACCCTATTCCACCAGAGCTCCCTGGGCCCTCGAGACTCCAAGGTGAGAACCTAGGTGAGGGGCCTCAGGCTGGCTCTGACCAGGATCTCCTTGTCTCCAAGGACTGCCAACCACCCAAGAACACAGGGACCTGAGTGAGCCTACACATGTGTGGCCTGCTACCACGTGTTACGGGCTGAGTTGTGTCCCCTCCCACCTCATATTTAGGATGGAAATCCTAACCCCCAGTCCCTCAGAATGCGACCTGATTTGGAGACAGGGTCTTTACAGAGGTACTCAAGTTAAAAATGAGATCATTAGGGCCAGCTCCAACATGACTCTGGTCCTTATGAAAAGGGGAAATTGGGACACCGACGTGGACAAGAAGAAAGACGATGTGCAGACCCAGGGAGAAGGCGGCCGTCTACAAGCCAAGGAGAGAGGCCTGGGACGGCTCCTTCCCTCACAGCCCTCAGAGGGCACAACCCTGCCAACACCTTGATTTCAGACCTCTAGCCTCCAGAAGTGTGGGAAAATAAGCCCTGTTGTTTAAGCCACCCAATTTGCAGCACTTGTTACAACAGCTCCAGCAAACCAATACCCCACGGCTTGACTTGCACAGTTGAAGGGCTGAGCCCATCTCTGCCACACCTCCTGCCCTAGCACCTTCCTGGAAACAGTACAAGCGCTCACAGGGGAGAAGTCCTAGGGCAGGAATGTGTGGGGCTCTGTGAAAGGCCAGTCTCGCTGCTGGACGAGGGACACGGCTTCACCCTGAGATGGGAAGGCCGCTGGAGGGTGCGGCACGTGTGTGTGTGCGTGTGTCTGTCTGTCTGTCTGTAACTTGCTGTGGAATTGGCAGAGGAACTGTGGGTCCCAGAGCTGTCCCCTGCGCTGATATTCCATCTCCCTCCCTTCCATCTTTACCAGGCCCCAGAGTCTCCTGACTCTGCCTTCCACCGAGAGGCACCTGGGCACTACCATACCTGCTGGTGCTGCTGGAGAGGAACAGGGCCTCGGGCCTCATGCTGCCCATGGCTGGCCTCCCTGTGCTCCAGGCCGTCATCCCCCAGCGGCCCCACGCCCCCGCCATCTGTCTCGAGGTCCTCCGCCGAGGGTATCTGCTGCAGTCGGGGCTTCTCACTCGGCTTGGCTGGCCTCTGGGGAAGGGAGATGCTAGCTGAGAAACACGCTGGGCCCCCAGGAGCCACACGTCCCCCTTCCGACCCTCCAGATCTCTGCCCCTCCTAAGCCTCCCTTCTTTCAGCCCCCAGGGTCCCAGTTTAGCAACCCCTCACCACCTCCCCTACCCAGTTCCACTCACCTTGATCAGCTGGACATGAGGTTTGAGCCGCTCCAGGCGGGGCTGCAGGGGGCCCAGCAGTGGGGGGGCAGTGGCGCTTGGGGGCAGGGGCTCTGAGCGGGTCCGGCTCAGCGGCCGGTGGAGGCCTGACCCGGAGGGCCGCTCGGTGGTCAGTAAGGACTGGGCAAAGTGGAAGGGCAGGGGCCCAAGCCCGGGCACTGGAAAGAACGGGGTGGGGGGCATAAGGTGGGAACCACAGGGAGGAGCAGAAGGAAGCAAGGGTGGGGCGGGGAGGGGGCGAGCCAGGAGGAAGGGACCCTGCCCACGCTTGGCCTTCAGCGGGGTGCAGGGATCCAGCCCCTCTCCTGTAGAAGCTGGGACTCACCAGTCAGCAGGGGGGCGTGAGAGACCGAAGGATCCAGGAGGAGAATGGGCTGCAGGCGAGAGGGCAGGGGGCCTCCAGCCTCGGGCTCCAGGCCATGGGGCAGGAAGAGGGGAGCATGGGGACTCGCCAGGACTGGTGCCCGAGGGCCCAGAGTCGCATGGGTCCTGCGGTCACCATCAGCCTGGAGGAGAGGTGGGGAGCATCACAGGGGAGAAGATCCCAGCAGGGAGACGGTGAAGGCCATCAGGTGGGGTGTAGGAGAAGGAAGAGAGAGATCTCGGGCGCTTGGGGTGGGGGAGGGCGCCTCAGCCACTCACCCTGGCAGGGGCGGGCAGCCCCAGCGTGATTGTGGGCAGCAAGGCGAACGGAGCCAGAGAGGTCTCCTGCAGCCGCAGCCGCTGGCCCAAGAGCGCCTGCCATGGGAGCAGGGCAGGGGTCACCGGTCCCAGACCTCCACCCCGGGCACGCCTTCCCCAGAACCCCCAGGAGGCTCCGGCGGGGGCTGCCCAGACCCTGCGGCCCCAGCCTGGTCGGGCCGCCTGCAGAGAGGAGCCTCAGAACTGCCCCGGAGAGCCCAGCCGGCAAGGCCTTACCTCGGAGCCCAGAACCGGGTTGGGGCCGTGCTCGCTGTCATTGGGGGAGCTGCACCCTGACGCCGGCGTGCTGCTACTACTGGGGGAGGAGTCTGAGGGTTGGGGAGAGGGGGACACGCAGTCAGGGGCCAGGAGGCGGGGCCAGGAGGCGGGGCCGGGAACAAGCCCCTTCCCCAGTGGGCGGGCTCTGCTTCCTGCTTTCTTCCCAGCAGGGCGGGCAGAAGGGAGGCCGCCACCAGTCTCCAGTGCGTTTGGACACTTATTTGTTTAGCGTGCCCCTTCTTCTGGTCAGGCGGCAGCTTAGCCAACAGAGCAAGGGTCGGGGGGTTCAGCCCCAACTTGCGCCCTGGCGAGTGTGTAGGACACCCCCCGACAGATACCCATGGCAGCCCTGAGGCGGGCATCCCTTGTCTGGGTGGGGCCTGACCCAAAGGGACCGGGCCTGCCACCCGCCCACCGCGCCGGGCCTCACCGCCGAGGGTCTCTGCCGGCCGCCGCCGGAGGCTGGGCGGGGCGCTCTCCTTCCGCAGCAGCGGGTTCTTCCTCCGCTCCAGGGACTTTTTGGGCTTGTAGCGCAGCTTCAGGTTGGGCTCAGAGACTGTGGGAACACCGGCGTTACTAGGCCCACACCCCCCCACACCCCCCCCAGCCCTGTCTCTGGCCTACGCCCTCCCTCCCAGTCCTCTCTGAGAGAGGCCAGAGGAGGCAGTGCCAGAGAGAAAGCCACCGGGTGCAGACTGTCCCCCGCCCAGCCAGGCCCCCCTCCCTGACCCTCATCCAAGGTCCTTCCTTTCCCCTGGAGGTCCCTGCCGGCCTGTCCCACGCACCTGTCTTACGCAGAGGGAAGTGTTCTGGGGGGTCGCTGGGCAGGCTGGGTACAGGAGGCAGGAAGCTGCTGAGCATGGAACGGGCAGCTCCTTCCGTCTCCAAGGGCTCAAGAGTTCTGTGGGGTGAGTGCCAAGGCTGCTTCAGAGGGGCAGGCATGCCCAGAGGCCTGACAGCCATCTCATTCCACCCTTTGGGACCTGCTAAGGAAGGCAGCAGCCCGCAGGGTCAGGAAGTGCCTCGCCGGCAGGAAATACCGGCCATCTCCAGGTGGCAGCATTGGGCCACCCATCCTACCTGCAGCCCACTGGTGATGCCGCCCTCGGACCTAGGCATGGGAGCCAGGGTCCGGGGCTTGGATAAGGGCCAGACACAATGGGAGGGTCCTGTTCTAGGAATCAGGATGTTTTTGTGATTACAGGAAGATATAAAGAGAAAAGAAAGCTAGCGTGGTGTGTGTGTGAGAGTGTGTGCGACAGGCGGGGGAGGAGCGATAATTAAAGGACAAGAGAGCAGGTATCAGTTGGGAGAGGGGTTCGGGGGAGGCCTTAGAATTAGAAGTGAGGGGTGAGGGTCAGGTGATGGGCAGCTAGGAGGAAGAGGGGGCGAGTGTACGAGTGTACGTGTGCTCACAGGTTGACATCCAGGGAGGAGGGGCGCGGCAGGGACACGAGGGGGCAGGTGGGAGAGGAAGTTACCTGTAGGGAACGCTGGGGCTATTGGGATGGACCGTCCTCTCTAAGGCTGCCTGCTGTTTCTTCAGAATCACCTCTGCCAGCTTCTGCTTGACCACACTGCTGGCTACGGCACCTGCAGGGGCAGAAATCATCAGTGGGCTGGGGGTGGGTGGACTGGTGGCCTCCCTGGAACATTCTCTGCCCGTTGCCCTGACCACGCCCCCAGGACGAGGCATCCCAGGGACCCCTCAGGCAAGAGCCAAGCCTGAGGCCCCACCTCTTCCGTGAAGCCTACGGGTCCGCCTTCACCCCCACCCACATTCGCCGGCAGCGCCCAGCAAGCAGAGGGGGACCCAGGCCGGCACTCCCCCGTCCCGTGCCCACGAAGGAGGCCGTGGACACCGGCTGGGGAGGCCTCCATGCTTACTGCGCTTGCTCTTGTCCTTATTGAGAAGCTGCCGCAGCTCCTGCTCCTGCTGCCCCACCTGCAACTCGGGCAACGGCGTGTCCATTGAGAGCTGTGGGGAGGGCCGGCCGCCCAGGGAGGGGCGAGGAGTTGGAGACGGAGGCGAGGGTCTGGGGAGGCTGAAGGGAGGGAGGGGTGCCGGGTCTGAGCTCGAGGCCGCTGCGTGCGTGGGGAGCTCTATCTTTACCCTCATGGTCTCCGCCGAGCGCTGGGTCTGCAGGCCAGCCAGGAAGAGGTGGTGGTGCAGGCGCTGGGGGTGCTGCAGGGCCAGCAGCGTGGGCTCCGGCGGGGGCTCCACCGGGGGCCGCTGGCCCACCCGCAGGTCCATGGGCTGGGGCTGAGGGCCTGGCGTGTCTGCGCAGGGCCTGGGGCAGCCTGAGCACACAGAGAGGGCAGGGTCGGCCGGAAGGCTCTGCAGGTGCACGGTTACCTCATCAGCCTCCTTCAGATTCACTTGACGATGGTAACACACCCTCCGGGGACCTCTTCCGCACTGCACCCTCCCCACAGTCCCGCACGGTAGTTATTTTCAAGCCTGTTTCACCCATGAGAAAGGAGATCATATAGCTACACAGTCTATCGCTGGTGCCGTGTGGATCGAGCTTTCTGACTCCAAGCACAGAGTTTTCCACGAAATACGCTGCCTCTCCAGGCCAGGATTGGGGGCTGAGGGCCCTTTAGTGATACATTCTGGGCCCTGGCCTCTCCTTCCCTTCTTCCCACCCTGGAAGGAGGATTGGGCCCAGCTGCCCTCTGATGAGCTGCGCTCGGACACGGCGATCAGACAGGCAGTCCCCTTTGTTCAGCCTCCAACCCCAAAGGGCATCCCAGGCCCTCTCAGTTGCCATCCTCCCTACTCTATCCTAGGCCACAGGATAAAGGGGAGGTGCCTCAAAGCCACAGCCAGCCCTGGCCTGCGCCCTGGGCCTGCACAGCCCACATGCCCGTGGAGCCTGCGCCCAGGTACCCTCACGCCAGCTCTGGGCCTCGGCAGCCTCAGCTGCCTCTTCTCGAGTGTCCCCTGCACCCATGCCAGGAGCACCCTGCCAAGGCTGTGGATGCAGGGGCTATTTATAACCAGCCACCAGACCAGGTCCTGCACCAGCACCGCCTGCTGGGCCAGGCTGGGCTCAGCAGCCAGAGACACTCTGAGGTGCTCAGAGGTGGACAGTTATCCTGGAGAAGGGGAAGCAGGTGGGGCTGGGAGCAGGTGCCCTCAGACAGGGCACACAAGCGGGGAAGCCTTTCCGGAGAGGCCTCCTTCAGCTCATCCAACGCTGGGCCTCCCCGACGGGGGCAGCCACAGGCCGTCCTCTGGGCCTGAGCCGGGAGGACTGGAAGGACTGGAAGGACTGAGGAGGACTGTGGCAAAGACCAGCTGGGGAGTCAGGAAATGCGGCATCTGGGCCCAACTCAACCATTATCTTAACATCCACAGCACACGTGCACAATCGCTGCAAACCCTTCTACCTCATCACCCCTGTAGGCCCTGGGGGGTAGTTATTACTATTCCCACGTGAGGAAACTGAGGCGCAGGTGAAGGGACCTGGCCAAGGCCACCCAGCTCGGGGCACAGTGAGCTCGGGCTCCGTCCTGCTGAGGCCAGTGCTCCGTCTCCGTCTTCCCATTGACTTCCAGGAAGTCACCTCCCCTGCCCCACCCGCAGAGGGGTCTCTCACTGGGCAAAGGCAGAGGGGCTTGCAGTAGGTGGTCACTAAGCGGTGTCTGTTCTCACATTCTCTGACCGTGAGATGGACACAAGAGAGGAGCAGAGGAGGGAGATGCCCTCACGACTCTCTGGATGTCAAGAGACCGGAGCAGGTGTCTGGGCACCCGATATGGCCAAAAGCAGGCAATGCACTGCTTTGATGTTCCCACCTCTTGTTCATGTGTCCACCCAGGGACCCCAAATTCTCATTCTGGTTCCATCTGGGCCTCTGATGCCACTGCACTCCCGCCCCAGGAAAGGTCTCAGTCTTCCCACGTCAGGTGTCCTGGCTTTCCGGGGTGACTCCCCTGGTGATGCAAGGGGGCCCTCAGGGCACCCAGGGCAGGCCACCCAGACTTCAGCCATACAGACTGGGAGCGGCCCCCTCCCTCTCTCCCAGCAGTGCCTTGGCCTCCAAAGCAGAAGGCTGCTGGGAACATGGGAGGGGCTCTGCCTGCAGCCCTGGCAACGCCTCTCAGGGTGACTCAGCATTTGGGGGTCTCCACGGTCTGATGCTAAGCCGGCTTCTGTCAGCTTTGCCTCCCACATCTGCACACGGACCCTCCGCCTCAGCTGTCTGCTCCCGTCCAGTCACAGCCCACATACCTCTGAGCTTTAGCTCACAACGTCCCCCTGCTGGTGCCGTCCTCCTCCTTCGAGTCTACTTTTCCAGATCCTACCCTGACTTCCAAGCCCAGCTGGAGTCTTCCCTCTTTCCTGGACCCAGCCCAGTGCCCTGCTGGGTCAAGCCCTCTTCTGGATTTCCATCACACTGGCTGCTCTGTGCCCTGAAAGCACCGCCCAGGCAGGTACCAAATCTGAATTAAGCTCCAAGGGCAGGGACTTGGTTTTGCCTACTGCTCACTATCCCATCACCTAGAACAGTACCTAGCAAGCGACAGGCACCCAATAAATACTGTTTGATTCGATGAATAAATCTCTATATCCTCGGTGCCCTGGAACAGAGGTGGGGTTCATTAATGTTTCTTTTTCCAATTTCTGTCTTTAAATTTTTAGAAAATTACACCACTAGAAGAACTAAATAACAGTAGGTGGTGAACTTACTGTTTCTTGAATGGATGGACAAACTCCTTAATCAGCTGCCCCCTCCTTTGGAACTGGTCACATATCGCATTCGACTATTATTTCCCTTTTTACTTGTATATCTTGTCTCCCCACCTGCCTGTAAGCTTTTGATGGCTAGGACTGAATCAAAGAGGATAGCAGCCTTCCTTTCTCCCTGCCGTAGTTTGGGTGTCAGGTGTGCACCTTGCACCCAACAGGCCCTCGTCCGGTCCAGCCCCCGCCCCCGCCCCATGGGCACGTCCTAAACCCTCCTCGCCCAGCACGGCCTAACAGCAGCGGGGGCAAGGAATGGTGAGAGACCCACGGAGAGGGGTCCTCTCCCTCCCGCCCGAGAGCACGAGGTATCTTCCCACCCCGCAGGGCTGGTGTGAGGACTGCAGAGCCTACAAATGAGAACGCGCCGCCTTGCCCAGAGCCCCCGAGGCAGGGGTCCGAGCATAAGTATTAGCTTCCTACTTGCCTTCCTGTTTCACTGCACCAGCATGGACAAGGAGAGCATCCTGCCTTTCCTTTTCCTGTTGTGCTTCCCAGCTCTGGGGCCAACCTGGATCCAGAGTTGCCTCTCTTATCCCCCCTCTTACCCCTTCCCCACAAAACCCCAACTTCGCCCCCTCCCCCAGAACCCCAACCTCCCAACTCTCTGGCCAATCAGCCAGCCACCGTTCTGAACCACCCCTGAGCTCCTCGCCCCGCTTCTGTCCTTTCCAGTGCATCTTCCACTCCCCACCACACTCTCCCTCAGGCCCACTCTTACCTGTGCCAGGGGGACTGGGGCAGTGGGCACCCGGGCTCACCTGGGTCCCATCTGTAGAGAGAAGAGAGATGGAGTGAGGCGGCTGCCGGGAGGGGCAGGGGAGGAGGAAGAGAGAGGGCCAAGCCAGGCAGGCCGCCTGCTGGTCCAGGAGGCCCCACTCCAGCCCAAGGGCACCTCCACCAGAAGCTAAGGGAAAAGACAAGACCCCACCCCATTCCTTTCCTCGGACTCCCGTGCCGCCTGAGAGCGATCCCCAGTTCCATCTTCCTCATCTGATCTTTCAAGCGGCTCAGGTATCTTGCTCCGCCAGAGCTCAGTCCACAGCAAGAAACTCAGGAGGCCCTGGTTTACGCAACGGTGCCCTCAGCCCTCCCTGATGTGCTCAGATACAATCTTCCTTGGGCAGCCAAACCAGGCTCCCCTAGCCCGAAGGGGGAGAAGAGGGCTGGGAGGTGAGGTGGGAGAGCACGGCTGCTAAGACTGCACTAAGGATGCCAGGAGGGAGACGGGGAGAAAGGGAGAGCAGGCCTGGAAGGGGAACTGGGGCCCCCTCTGAGGCTTCCACAGTGTGGGAGGGACCAGGTCGTGGCCTGGAGGTCAAGTCAGATCTGGTGGGAGCTGTGAAGTGGCAGGTCTGGAATGCATAGCTCGAGGGCCCCACGGTAGGAACCCCTTTCCTCCTCCTGCCCCATCCTGGGTCCTGCAGCCTCTGTGCCCCCCGAGAAGAGAACCACTCAGCCTTTTTCGTGGATGACCTCAAAAAGAAGTCTTTCCTTCTGGAAATGGTCACCTCTCCCAGGCTCCTAGGCTCAGCCCAGGGCCCTCCATTCCGTTCAGAACCCATGGAACCCCACGGTAGGGCCGGTGCTGTCGGCAGCCGAGAGGTCCGGGGATCTCAGGGACTGGCTGGGGGGCGGGGAAAGACAGAGCTGAGTCCTGAGGCCACCTTTCCCTCCTGCTGTCCCAGCTCAGGGCCAAGGGGATGGAACCTGGAGCCTGGAGGCCTCCTGGAGGCGGATGTGGTAGAAGCCCTCCTCGGGCAGAAGGGGCATCTTCTGAAGGACAACTGATGGGCGCTGCACTACTGCCTAAGGGGCAGCCCCAGTCCTCTTCCAGAAGCTGGAAAAGGAGAATTCCCTGCAGGCGGGAGCCTCTGGGGGAGGCGGCAACTCTGGGCACAGAGAGACTCCCACCAACTGCCCTCAGACACTAGTGGCCTGCGCTTCGGATGACGACATTTGGTAGGGAAATGCTGCTCCACCTGTTCAAATGCCGCCCGTTCTTTGAAGTCCAGCACGAGGCCATCTCCTCATGAGGCTCACCCTGACCACAGCCCCCTTACCATCCACAGCACCCACTCTGTGCCCACCACCTCGACACTCCATTCATCCAGGTCTCTGCGGTGTCACGGCTAAGCCATGCCCATCTGCTCCTAACACCTTGCTGGGCACCTGGCATGCTCTGTTAGGAACTGGCGACTTGAACACAATGACACTCCCCTGGCCCCCTGCCTAGCACACGGCATGCGTATTTCTCAGGGTTTGTGAGAGGCAGCCTCCCCTCCCCAGGATGTGGTAGCCCCCTACCCTGGACTCTCTTAGGACCTCCCCTTTCTTCTGCGGGACCTGGTCCTCCAAGAGAGGTTTCTGAACTGGACTTCCGGGTGCAGTCCCGGAGACTGTGTCTGGCCTGGAGTCCTTGGCCTCCAGTCCCTACCTCCTGGGAATTCTCCCCTAGCTCCCTCGGTCCCTGCCTGAGGGCTGGCCAGCAACACTCACGCGTGGGAGCACAGCCAGCTTCTCTGTGCCCAGCTCCCCTGGTAACCATGGGTTCCGGACACCGTGCACCCTGTGGCCCTGAACTCTGTCATGTTTGTTACGGGGCCCAAAAGGGATGTTCTGTGATGATGATCTATGATGATATAAACTCTGTTCAGAAAAGCTGTGTGTGTGTGTGTGTGTGTGTGTGTGTGTGTGTGTGTGTGTGTTGCCCACGGGGCAGCTTCTAAAAGCAATGCCTCGAAAAAGTTCTGCTTCTCCTCCAACCCCCTAGGTTTGTACTGAGAGCCTTTGGATTCAGAAGAGCCCAGAGCAACAGAGATAAGATCTGGGGGACAGCTCTCCTGTGTACCAGAGAGAGGAGAGTATCTAAAGGCACCCAGTCAGTGGCTGCATCCCAGGCTTGGGGATGAATCTGGGGACCCCTTTTCTCATCAGCCCCTCTCAGAGCGCTGTTACCATTAATTTGGGGTCAGACTGAAATAAAATCAGGAGTGAATGGACCCGAGGGACAGAAAACACTGCGTAGGGCTGGACCCTTCTCCACACAGCTCCGGACCTGGGTGGAGAGCTCTCATTTCTGGAATCCTGGCCACCCCCCTATTTCTACCTTCTTTGGAAGCAACTCTGGTCAGGCTGAAGAGGCGGTTTACCTCGTGCTGCGGTTCCTATCAAGTCACCTTCCCCAACCAGACACCTGATCTTACCCAGAAATCCCACCCGAATGGGTCCACCCCGGCCCTCAGCAACCTCCAGGGCAGACACAAATGCCACTCTTCTGTCCCCTAAGCACCAGCTGGCCTCCCACTCCTCCCTTGTTGCCCCAGGCCCTCACCTGCCCAGCAGATGCGACTGGAAACCCGAGCCTGGCCTGACCGCCTGCTCTCCCGGTGCTGCCAGCCCTGCATCAGGGGAGGGCTTCCCCAGGAGCAACGCCACCCACAAGCCCCCTCCTGACGCCTCTGATGTCTTTGTCGAGGCTGTGTCCCCCTCCCTGGTCTCCTGAGGAGCTGAAAAAGGAGAAGCAGGCAGACCCAGGCCCTGCAGGCAGAGGAAAATAGGCAGGAGCAAGAGACCAAGCCCTGGGTCCAGGGCGGACTCCCTCCACCACCCCACTGCCCTCCTCAGCTCGGGTCTGCTTCCCCTGATATGGGCAGACGAAGTTTGACTTCGCGGGGGGCTGGCAAAGAAGACAAAGCTGGGGGTGAAATGGCTTCAGGAAGGTCCAAGAATAAATAAACAGAAGAGAGAACATCATGGTTGCCTGACTCTCTGACTCTGAGTGAGGACTGTGCAGTGTACATTAGGACCTGATGGGGCTTTAGAGATTGTGCGGGTCAACACTCTCACTTCCCAGAGAGGAAAAGAAAGAGGGCAAGGGGCTATGTCATGGTCACCCAGCAGGTCAGTGGTACAGCCAGGCCAGACCAGACCAGTGCAGGGGGAAACCCAAGAAGTGGATCCCAAAAGCAGGTACTAAGTACCTTTGTGTGAGGTCACTGGTCCAGGTCTTTTTTTTTTTTTTTGTGCGGTACACAGGCCTTTCACTGTTGTGGCCTCTCCCGTTGCGGAGCACAGGCTCCGGACGCGCAGGCTCAGCGGCCATGGCTCACGGGCCCAGCCGCTCCGCGGCATGTGGGATCTTCCCGGACCGGGGCACGAACCCGTGTCCCCTGCATCGGCAGGCGGACTCTCAACCACTGCGCCACCAGGGAATCCCTGGTCCAGGTCTTGAAGGGATGGAAAAGTGAATAAAACCTGGCTCTCACTTTAAGGAGTTTAAGGTACAGCCCACAGGTGTTGTTTTTTTAATTGAAAAGTACACTACTTGCAGACACGACAGTAATTCAAAGAGCCCCTGAAAGCATGAAACCAGAAGTTTCTCACTCATCCAACTCCCTAGACCTTCCCTAGACTCAACCCCTTTAACAGTTTCTTGTGTTCCCCTTCCAGAAATTCTCTGCTGGTTATTAATTCTATTGCTCAGTATCTTGGCACCAAGCTGCTTATTACTCAGATCTATCCAGAGCCCAGTGGGCTGCACGCTGGCTGGAAACTCCTGCCCCATGAAGTGACAGAAGCGAGGGTCCACAGAACAGAGGACATTGGCTTTGAGGTCAGATGGACCTGGGTTCAAACTCTGACTCCCTCAGTGACCGGCAGGGAGAGCCAGGGACACGTCGCAGCCTGGGCAAGCCTTGGCTATGCCTCTGAAATAAGAGGATAAAGAATATGGACGGGGAAGAGGCCGTGTGAGATGAGCAGTGCTGTGTGTGAAGCAGGGAGCACATGGCGGGTGCTCCCACAGTGGTCGGGATTCACACTGCTTGCTCCCAGGCTAGTCTGCAGCCTCCCTCTGGCACAAGCATTTCGGTGTCTGATACCACCTGTGTCCTCCCCTCGTCTGCCACAGTCCACTGTCTCCCAGATGTAGTCCCGGTCCCATCTCTTATCCCGACTCTCCCAACCACAGGCTCTTCTCTTTCTCCGCCCTCTGAACTTTTGTAAACTAACACTTTACTATGTGCCGGGAGTTGTTCTAGGTGGCCTACGTTTGCTAATTCGCCTAACCCTCATGACAAACCTATGAGGTGGTTACTGTTTTTATCCCCATTATATAGACTAGTCAACTGAGGCCCAGCAGTATTAAATAACTTGTCTGAAGGCACAGAACATGGGAGTGGCTGAGCTGGGACTCGAGCCAGGCAACTGGGCTCCAGAATCCATGTTCTCAAGCAATGCTCTCCACTGCTGCTCCCCAGCACTTCCACTGCCACAGGCCAGCGGGTGGACAGCAAATGCAGGACCCGGCAGGGCACAGGGAAAGATCCAAAAATCCCATAGCCCCCCAGAGACCCGAACCAGCGGCCAACTCCAGCCCTGCTGCAGGTTAGAGGGCAGAAGCTGCCTGTTCCACCTTTGGGCCCCCGTGAAGACAAGCCCCCCCAAATCACTTATAGATAGCAACTGTTGACTCTGCAGATTCTAAGAAATGATTTCGTACTGTACGTGGGGACAGGAGCCGGCGACCTTGGAAGAGCACCGGATTCATCTTCCAGGCGGTCGGGTGCCCTGCCCTGTCCCTTCTTTAGTTGCTCCCGAGTCCCTCTGAGGCTTTCTCAAAGCGCGCTCCGCTGGGAGGGCGGGCGGGGCGGGCAGAGGCTCGGCTCCCAGGTGAGCGGCCTGGGATGTGGACCTGCCCAGACAAAGGCCTCCAGTCAGGCCGAGGCAGGGGGCCGCCGCTCTGCAGGCTCAGCAGCTGTGCGCCAGGCGGGAGGCTGGACGTGAGGGCCGCAAGGCCGGCCCTCCGCCTCCGCAGCCAGCATGGCCCTTTCCCCGCGCCTGGGGCCCTGGGGCAGCTATTTTTAGCTCTTGACACCTGGGTATTTTGCAGCCGCAGGATGTCCGGTTTGGAGTCTCTTTCTGGGAATCCCACATGGGGCAGTTGTAAACAGCCCCACGCAGCGGCAGCGGCGGCCCGAGCTGGGAGCCGGCACCCCCCTTTCTGCTGTTTGAGATGAATCAAACAGGAAGCAGACGTAACCATGGCAGCGGCAGCTTGCGCTCCCTGGGGGTGGGAAAGCGTCCTCCCTGGCTCCTTGTCCCTGCCCCAAGTCCATTCCATTTTGTGGCCTCTCCTCACAGATGGCAGGGGGAGCTGGGCTGGCAGTTCCTGGGACTGGCGCTCCCTGGAGAGCCTCCCTGCCCTCTGGCAAAGAAAACCAGAAGTCCCTCCAAGCCCGGCCCGCCCCCGCTCCCGGGGCCTCTCGGACCACCACTCAGCCTTCCCTGGCTGCCCTCTGTGAAGGTGGGAAAGGGAGGGCAGAGCCACTTGCTCAGGGGCCCAGGGTGTGCAACACCCCTGAGCAGGCAGGTTCCTCCAGTCCCACGCCCAGACCCCTGGTCCAGCCTGCCCTAGGGTTTCCCAGGTCCCGAAAGGCCTCAAAAACCCCAGTTCCCACTTACCCTCACTCCCCTGTTCCCGGAGCACCAATCCCTGAAACAGGAAGTTCAGCATGATGTCTAACCACCATCTTTCCTATCATAAGCAAAACAGCCCGAGCAGTCAAGATGGGGCCCCCATCTGTAACACGGGGAGAAGAGTCGAGTTTCTATCAGCTTCTGCCTTTGTCTCTCCCCCTCCCCCACCCCCTGGTGCCCCACTTAGACCAGCTGCTCCCTCTTAGCCGCCCGCCAGCCCCAGCCAGTCTTTCTCAAGGGCCAGCGCTTGCCCCAACAGGAAGCACAGTCACCGCCCCGGGGCTGTCTCGGAACCGCTCCTTTCTCCCCTCTGAGGTCTCCTGTGCATGCCCTCGCCCTCACTGATCCCTCAGCAGCTTCTGGAGACCCTGCTTCCCTGTGCACCCCACCTCTGCCTCCCGCCGGTTCTGCCTCTCCCAGATGTGCCTTCCTGGCTCCCCTCACCTGTGCCACCCACGAGGCCACTCAGCCCACTCCCGAGACTGCCAGGGAAAAGCTTAAGCTATGATATTAATGTCCATCATTATTATTTTATTATTAGCAGTAACTAGTAATATTAGTATGATCAACAACCACGTGCTGAATGCTTACTGGGTGCTGGTTACTGTGCTGAGTGTCTGACTTGTACTATCTCCTTTGGTCCTCACAACCACCCCATGAGGTCGATACTGCTACCATCCTCACGTTACAAAGGAAGGAAACTGAGGCTCAGAGAGGTTAAGAAACTTGCCGAGGTCACACAGGTGGTAAGTGGGGCTTCTGGGACTCCAGAACCTAAGCTATAATCACTACACTGGTGTTTACAACTAGTCCCACCCACCAAGGTGAGGTAAGGCCACCAAGGGGTCACACAGGACATAGTGCGGTCCCAACATCTGAAGGCCTGGGCGTGACTCACATGTTCTCACAGTGCCGGTACTCCATCCAGCAAACAACAACAAAAATAAAAACTGAATCATCTCTGCCCATGTCCCTCACATGCTTCTTCATGTCCAGGAGGCACTCCGCGACCCCATCCTCACTTCCTTTTTCATCTTACGACCCCATCCTCACTCCCTTTTTCATCTTACGTTTTCCCTGCTTTTTAAATGTACATATTACCATTTTATCATTTCCTGTAAGCTGCCCCCAGCAGGGTATAACTAAACAAGCAAACCCCCAGGTGCCAGGGAGCATCACTGCTGTGTGAAAGCCCTCTGGAAACTGTCAAGCCCTGTCTAAAATGCACGTTGCGTAACCAGAGCAAGACCCCCACCCCCATCCCCCAGCGGCTACTTGGGAGTGAACCGAATCCCCCAGGGAGGGGATGGGTGCGCGCTTTCTCTCTCTCTCTCTCTTTTTCTCTCTCCCTCTCTTGCCCAGGCCTCACACACCCGGGCAGGCCACGGGCAAGGATGGAGGTGCCCACAAGTGCAAAAGGGAGCACCCATCTTCAGGGCAGGCTCCCGGGAACTAGGAACAACACCAAACAGCCATCAGCACCCTTGGACCTGGGGCAGGGAGAGAGGCCACAGCGAGACCCCGGCCTGCTCCATGGCCTGGGGCATCACGGATATGAGTCCGTGAATAGCAACAAGCTATGAATGCTGGCACTCACAGGGATGCCACATTAATATTCATGACAGTGAATACCAGATCCCCATCCCCGTGATGCCCCAGAATCCCACTCATTTTGCCTGTTATTTTTGGAAGATGGCAGAACTCTGTCGGGCAGATTCTCCAGGTGACACGATTCCCTTTTGTGGCCAGGGCTGCCCTTGAGACTCACTCAGCTGGGGTTTTTCCAGACCACAGATCCAGCCAGGGTGCTTAACACAGCTTTCAGGGAATTCAAAAGCCAGATGCACAGTCCTGGGTACAGATTTGGACAAACCAGCTGTGAAGGACAATTTCTAGCCAACTGCGAATGCGATGAGATGAAAATTTACTGCACTGGAAGGTGGAGATCACTGACTGAAAAGAATGGCATACGTGGTATGGTCTCGTTTTGGTAAGAAGCACCGTGTATAAAGGCATGTCAGGAGATGGGAAGGTGTACACTGAGGTACCCTGGCAGTGATCTCCCACTGCTGGGATTGGGATGTTTCTTATTCTTTCATTTTTGCTCCTCTGTGTTGTCTGATTGCCTACGATGCACAGGAACTGCCTCTGGAATAATAAAACAGAACTGATGTGTGTATGTGCACCCACACGATATCAAGACGGCACTGCCAACGGGCGGCAAAGTCAGGATGCGACCTCTGGTTCCCGTGAGAACTGGGACGTAGGGCTTTCACTGATTCCACGTATTATATTCTTGGACCCCATATCCTCTGGAGTTCCGCATTATCTACAGCTCAGCATCCTCCGCTTCTCCCGAATCACACAGAGGGCCTAGCACAGGCCTGGGCACAAAGTCAGGACTGACTTAATGGATGCCTGTAGGCTGAATAATGATCATTTCCTGAAAGAAATGCCTGCTGCCTCTTCCAGGGCCACTGTGCTGGGAATACAGACTGCTGACATCACTGACCTTCTCATCCCTCCTCTGCCTCACGCTCCTCTTAAAAGCTGCCAAGGAGGGGGCTAAAAGAAAGGTCACCCCAACAGATGCTGGCAAGGTACTTACTCCACAGCAGGGCCATCAGGGCCAGTCCCATCCCAGACCCTCCCCGGGGCCAGCTGGCAGCGAGGCCCTCAGGTTCCCCCGCATCCTGCCTCACTGGGAGAGGCCAGGGGTGGGGGAGTGAAAGAGAGAAGGGGTCCACCCTGCGACTTCTGGCTATAGACTCCTGCCGTTCCAGGCCCTTATGGGTGGAGGAATCTGGAACAGTGAATTTGGCCTGGTTTTTCCTGTGAACTGGGGCCGAGCCCAGTTTCTGTTCTTCATGTCTTTAACATTCCCTATCCCTGACCTTCAAAAATATGAACAATAACATCAATAACAGTGATAATATTCTGTGTGTACTGACTTCATACCAGACACGGTGCTAACCTTACTTACTTTAATCTTGAGAACAACTCCAGGAGCTTGAAACTATGATTATTTTCATATTACAGAGATGGAGAAACTGAGGCACAGAGAGCCATGCGCCCAAGGTTACACTCAGTGGTTTGCAGGAGAAACGGGGACACTGCCACATTCCTCCCTCTGTGTCCTCACTCGGAAGGCCCTTCTGCCAAGCTCTGCAATGGGCACAGGAGAGTCGAGGGTGACCGTTCACATCTGTAGGGTGCATTAGAATCCACCGGGAGTTAACACGCGCATGTGAGCAAATCCCCACACGAAAGACCAGGAAATCAAGTCTCAGAGCCCGTGGCAGCCTCGCACGAGGTCCCAGAGCCATTCAGCTGGGATTCAAACCCAGGTCTTTGGTATGAGAACGGCAAGCTTCTTCCCCTCTATCACACAATCTCCTTGGCCCAACTCTCAAGATGGCTCTGAAGGCCTGGAAGGGAGATGCACAGCCTCTAGCACCCCGGAGATGAAGCCTGCGCCCAGCCCCTCGCCCGGTGGGGGTGGGGTGCTGTGCCAGCACCTCATCAGCGACTCCACCGACTCCACCGTGACTCACTCCTGGGACCCAGGGGAAACACAGCCCTGAGCTGCGGGCAAACACGGCCTGCCGCCTGCCCCGCCTCCAGCTCCCCGCCTCCACATTTGCTAACCGAAACCCGGCTGTTGCTATTTTTAACCCTCCAGCTCCCCCTGGCCTGGGGCTCCCCCCTTCACCCCACCCCCACCCCCTGCCCCAACCGGGTGCTACCAGCCCGTCATTCTGAGAGCAGTTCCACAACCTGAACGCCCAGGAGGGCGCAGCGGATGCCCGTGCAGGTTTGTGGGGCGAGCAAAACAAGACAGTTACGGCCCGTCGCCGAATTCCCCCACCCCGACGCTTTCCGAACCTGTGGCTCCCCGCCTGCCCCGCTTCTCCCTGTCATCCTGGCAGCGGGGGAGGGAGGAATGGGACTTCCAGGGCTGGGGGGGGGGGGGGGGGGGGCCGCTGCAGGAGCCAGAGCTGGCCTCCTCGGGGCGCAAGAGAGCTGAGCTGGACTCCCGAAGAGAGATGGGGTCCCCCTCATTCCCTCCAGGGCACCAGGCTCGCCCTGAAAGCCCAGGGTCTCTGCCCACCAGGGTTTCCAATCCCTGCAGGCAACATGGGGAAAAAAGGAAGTGGCTGGTGAAGGGGTGGGGACGGAGAGTTTAGCCCAGGGCCCTCCTCATGGGATGTCCCCTCCCCATCCTGGGCAGAAGGCCTGGGAGACACAGGAGTCCAGGGGGTGACTGCACCCAGCAGCCTAAAGGAGGCCAGGGTTGAAAGACTCCAGGCAGCGGGTTGGAGGGTGGGAGGCCAGACGGGGCCTCTTCTCTCACGTGAGGGCCCCTCTGATATTCAGCTCTCTGAGCAAAGGGCCCGACCATCCTGCAGCCGCCAGCTCTGGGGCCCCAAAGAGCTACCACGAGAAGAGCCTGGAGGTGAGAGGGTCTCAAGGCTGCTTGCTGATGTGAAAGTGAACCTCCTGAGACGGGGGTGAAGAGGTGGGGCTGCCGGGGGACCAGGGGGGGCACTGCCTTCTAGCTGTCATCTGCTGCCCCCACCCAACACCTCCCAAGCCCCCCGCTCAGAGGCTCACCCAGTTTGAGGAGCAGATTCCAAGGGCCCAGGAGCAGCTCTGGAGCGCCCAGCCAAAGATCTCCTCTGCTCCCTCTCTCCTGCCCCGGCCCCCGGCTCGGCCAGCCTCGGCCCTCCCTTTGCCCTGTCCTCGCTGGCCCCTGCCCCAGCCCTTCTTTCTGGTGTGTCCTCTCTTCCAGGGCCCAGCTCCTCTCTAAGCCTTGACCCCCCCACCCCACCCCCGGTGATTCCTGAGCCAGGTAAATAAATCCCAGTGGCCACAGAGGCAGCCAGGCTAGACCAAGAGAGGAGGGACTTGGCACTGGAGTTGTAGGGTGGGGAGATGGGAGGAAGGGAACGAGGTGGGAGGAAGGGAACGAGGTGGGAGGAAGGTGAGGCAGGAGGGTCAGGAATGGGCTGGCACTTGAGAGAGGCTGCCGCCTTCCCAACCCCTGACATGTCGACAGGGCCCTGGACTCGGCCCCACGACGGGGAAGAGGCTGCTCCCCCAGGCGCCGAAGCAGGCTGGGTCCAGCCCTGTCCAGCTCTCCCTCCTCCTCGCCCCTTCTGCCAGCCTCTGGGGATGGCTCGAGCAGCCGAGACCCTGCTGTTCCCTGCCAGGCAAAAGGCTAGAGATTGCGCTCCAGTCCCCTGCCAGCACTCAGCCCAGGTCTCTCACCTGGACCCAGGCGGTTGCCAAGAATGGCTCAGAAGCTCTGAGGGCTCACTTCTAGTCTGGGGGGGTGAGAGCAGGCATCGATGTCACTTCTCAAGCAGGCCTCCCCTGGCCGCCCTGTCTAAGTTAGTGCCACCTTGTTATTCTCTATCGCTGCACCTGGTTCATTTCCTTCTTAGGGTTTAGCGCAATGGGTAACTAGGTGTATATACTCATTTCTTTACTTGCCTACTTGTCTTACTGTCTCCTCCACTAGAGTGGAAGTTCCCTGAGGGCAGATGCCCTGCCTCTGTGTTCACTGTGTATCTGTGCCTGGGACCTGGCACCCAGCAAGGCTCAGTAAGCATCCAGTGAGTAACTAAACAGCTGAATGCCTGGCTCAGTAAAGGGGGCCTTCTGGTTGCCAACCTCACTTTTAGGACTGACGAGCAACAGTTCCAGGATTTCCCCAGGGAGGAGGAAGCAGGATATAACAGGAAGAGCAAGGTCGGGAAGCCCGGGACCCCAGGGAAAAGGTCAAGGCCCAGTAAGCATCCGCACCAGTCCCATGTGGTCCACGGCATCACGCTGAGTGTGGACGTGTACACCGCAGGGGACGCGTGGGTGGGTCCTGGATTGGTCTTGAAAGGCTTGAATTTTGTCCTGGTTCTTCCTCTTAATATCCCTGTGTCCTTGGACAAACCACATACCTTCTGTGGGTCGCAGTTTCCTCAAAAGAAAATATGAAGAGATTGGCAGTCCTCAAACACGGCTTTGCACCGGCTCACTGAAGCGCATGTCAAACTCCAGATTCCTAGGCCCAACCCCTGCGGACTCTGAGTCTACCTGAAATGGGGCCTGAAGATCTTTATTTTTAATACATTCCCAGGTGACCCTAAAGCAAATGCTCTGGGAACCGGCATTTGAGGAGGGACGAAAATGCTTTCCAGCAGATACCTGGACTTCCATTAAAAAAGCCACTCCTGGGCTCCCCTGGTGGCGCAGCGGTTGAGAGTCCGCCTGCCGATGCAGGGGACGCGGGTTCGTGCCCCGGTCCGGGAAGATCCCACATGCCGCGGAGCGGCTGGGCCCGTGAGCCATGGCCGCTGAGCCTGCGCATCCGGAGCCTGTGCTCCGCAACGGGAGAGGCCACGGCAGTGAGAGGCCCGCGTACCGCAAA